CAGTGTTTCTTGGGTTCTGATTAGACCTTCAAGCAGTACTGCCGGCTCTATACAAGGTTTTAAAAATATCCTAAAAAAATATTTACCCTGAAGATGACAACTGCAATATTTGCCGAAACGAGTAATTTTCAACATCCAATGCAGCTCATGCCCGGAATCCGACGTTTTACACTAAATTCCAGCCGCGAAAACCAAATGACCTAAACGAACACGCGACGTATAGTGAAATTCTGTAGGGCTACAAAAAATGTTAAGCTTCGGCCAGTGTAATAAAATACTTAGGTCATTAAATTTTTAGATTCTTGCAATGCAGTCACCAACTCCGTGTTGTAGAGCTGTCGGACAGTCACCTTCATCGCTTCAGAAGTTTCTATAGAAATTCCATACAATCAGAAAGTACATACGTGGGCAAACTGTGAGTACTTCGCATTCATTTCGCGTTGCGTTACGTATTTAACGCAGGTTAAGAATTGGCTCCTATGTAAATATTATTTTAAACGACTGTAGTAAATTATCCAATGATAAGAATATCGAAGCTCAGTGCTCTAGAAATTTTAATTTTCTAGACTGTTTTCCTTAAAATATGTGCACATACACTTGCTGAAACGATAGAAATTAGGAATATTTTTATATTAATTGAAGGGGCCTATACACGTGGCATCTGTACACTGTGTTAAGAACCACTTCTTCGGCTTCCAAATAGTGTTATAAAATATTATTTCCATGTTTGAATTTGTGGGTTTATTCTTGTAGGAACGCGATACTCGTTGATCTCATTTTAGAATTTTTTACTACGCTTAAATTCAATGCAATTATGTGTTTAATAATGGTCTACAGATAATATATTTTCCGTATTTTACCACATTTTCTTACGTACGTCTTGGAACTACATCAGCTGGTACAGACACATTAACATTTTCCACTTGGCGCTAAAACTATCTGAAAAATTTGTGCTTGTTGTTGCTTCACAGAAGCGAGGAAAGGCAAACTCTTTCAACAAAATTATTCTAGAGTCATCAGATCTTTCCGACATCACACAATAAAATAAACTTTTAAATGTTTACTCCAAAGTATAAATAACCATGAATGAAAGACCCGCTGCGTATAAAGTTACAGATACCATCAGTCTTCAGTTGTCTTCTTCCAATAATAGAGTGAGGAAATACAGATGGGAGGCCGATATTCTAGGCAACTCGACTAAACCCTATTGTCGACGGATTGCCGACTTAGCATCGAGGGAAACCAGGGTGGTTAAAGGAACCATAAGAAAGACAAGCCCATTTTACACAATCGGATTACTTATAAACAGATTGGTGCAAAAAGGGCTTATATAACTTTAATAATGTGCATGTTGCTAGTAGCTTAGAGCAGCGGTTCTTAACCTATTTTCGCCGGGACCCACATTATGATTGGGAGTCAGTATCGTGACCCATGGTTTAGTTTTTAATTAATGTATTTCATTTTAATAACTGTACTCTTGTCTACAAATTAAGTATATTATTTTTTATTAAACTGTAAGTAAATCTTACAAGATTAGCTACTTTTAAAAATTAATATTATAAAAATATGAGTAATTCTTATTGATAGTTTATTAGCTGGTAGTACACCAAGTCTTGGAAAAGCACAAATATTATAAGAACAACACAATTTTTTTAAAAAGTTGTCGGTATATTAATGAGGATCATGGTGACGTATAGGTTAAGAACCACTGTCTTAGAGCATGGCAGGCCTTCGAGTTACATGCCGGTATAGGGCCTGAAAGCATGAGTGGCTGAGAATAACACCTCTTGTAACCAGGAAGTTAAATCGTGCCTTAACATTGCTGAGGTCATCTGATGATGAAAGACATAATTGCGTGTTCCTTTTGTTCTTCTAATACTGGAAAGCTGCAAATTCTCCTCTCATTTCTGCGTCTTTGAAATTTCGTTTCTCATCTTAACAAAAGATCGTAGAGAAGACAGCGTTGTAAGAACAGATTGCTGAGAACAATATTTTAATTTAAGAGGGCGGAAGTAACAGGGAGACAGAAAAATTCCTGAGCGCCATGGTTTATATTTTTCGAAATATTATTAGGGAAATTAGATAAAGCAGGGTGTGATCGGTTGGGCATGTAGCACGTATGGGAGAAATTCAAACAAAATCTGCGTTGTGAAATTTTAAGGAGTACGTATACACCAATCGGCGATAATACTAAGATCGATCTCATAGGAATGTGGTTTGAATTGTATTAATCGTTAGGATAATATCCATTGATGGGATGTTGTGAACACAGTAACAAACTTTCTGGTTTCATAAAATTGAGGGAATTTCTTGACTAGCTGAACGAATATTAGCTTCCCTACAAGGACTCTGCTTTATAGAATCTGCAATTTATAACAAAAAATATTTTACCAAGATTAACTTTGTTTTTGACGCGTGCTTTTTCGTAATTTGTCGCCAGAAGTTAATCATCTTAGCAGTGTTGAACTTGGAATTCGTAATGTGAAGTAAAAGCCATTCATGCATTCTTATATAGCAGCACGCACCAGTGTATCTGAATTTAGTAACACACGTAGCAAGGAGCTCACTTTTTCCTGCACTACGTCAGTACACGTTGCAAAGGTAACATTTCTGCTTGACACTTAATTTACACGTCTAAATAACGTGCGTATGAAAAATGTGAGACAGGTGCGAAGTTTATAAAAATTCCAGTAGACAATAATTCCAACTTTTGAATAATATATTTTATTTTGAAGTTACCTACAGTGAAAAGTTATGTTTTGGTAACGACTTACGATCCTCCAAACACTCGATCAAATTCGTAATTAATATTCCCTTTAAGTCGTCCTAAATCTGTTCTGTAACAGCGTGCTATGACTTTGTTATGGCAACTGAATATACGTGTATTTCAGACAGCATGCATTCGCTCTTCTGTCACGTAGGCGAGATGTGATGGTGTTTCTGCAGATGGAAATTGTGCCTAATCCTCACACTTTTCATCGTCTTTTCTTCTGTCACTACATTTTTTACGTTTACATAAATTTAAATCTATGCTCTTAGGTAAGAAATTTACAAAGTTACCTCTGCAATGAAAGTACACGACGAATCACAAGGAGCTTATTCTACTTTTATGGTTTTACTGTAATTTTAATTTCATACTTATCGTGTTTCTTATTTTCTCTCTCCCGATTAAGATTTAATTGTCTAGTATGTATAGTAGTTCAGTAGAAATATCAGCTGCAATTTGCACACAAAAATTGTGTTAACACTGATTATATTTATCACAGTAATTATGTATAACAAAGAGAGGCTGCAGACATATATAAAAAAACTAAAGTTTTATCCGTAATATTAATAGAAAAATGTAAAAGGCTCGATTTAATTTTAGAAATTAAAATATTTTCAGATAAAAATTTTGTGTGCTGAAATCTGTTTTGCAATTTGAAATAAAGTTTTCTTGGCTGCGGGCTCTTTTAGAGTAGAAACAGCGCAACAATACAGCTGTGTCTCCATATTCTTCTACATGTTTAATGTTTTATTGCCTGCAGCATAACACATTAATTGACCTTTAAAGGCTATTAACCTAATATAGACACGTGTTTATATAGAGTGAGGAGTTCTATATATGGTAGTGCATATTGTCTTCACCGAGATCGAACTGCATAAAATGGAACTGTTGACTGCCACTAAGTATTTTTGACACACAATTTATGGTCTGATTTATATTACTCAATTTCTGGTACGTATTTATGATTTGAATTTTTATTCAAATAGCTCTTTGGACATAAAGTACGATTATATTTTGCAGTATTGTTTTAGTCCACAACTTCTCAATTCTCTTGCAAATGTCAGTTTTCTTTCAGGCTATTAAAACATTTGGATGCAAATACATTGTTCACTTTTATATTTAGTTTTTAAAAGTTTGATTTTTTCGTTACAGTAAGTCAGTGA